CTCTCCTCATTTTGTTTCTCCGGTGTGGCTATAACATTTTTCGTTGGTTGTTCTGGCTTCTTCAACTTGGGATCTTTTGGTCTATCATAAGTGGTTTCACTCCGCGGGGAAATATCGTTAGCATGCCCCTTGGATTAGGTTGAGATTGTCTAAGAAATTGTCCTCCTAGCGTAGCCTAAGGAACTTGTTGTTGAGCTACTTGAGAAATTTGGGTTTCAAGCATTTTGTTGTGGGTTACCACATAATTGACTTTGGTGACTAATTGAGTAATCAACTCGTTTATGTGAATGTTTTGGTTCATAAATTCTTTGTTTTGCTGAGTTTGGGCCGTAATGAAACTCTCCATGATTTTCTCAAGATTTGATTTCTAAAGGGCAACTTGCATAGGCTGTATCGATCTTTGGGCTTGAAAACCTTGGGGTATTTAGGGTGCAGAACTCTGATTAGGGTTGTTGTTTTTATAGGAAAAGTTTGGGTGATTCCTTCATCTAGGGTTGTAAGTATTTGAAAAGGGATTTCATTGGGCATAATTGACCTGATCTGGGTTTGATTCAGCTAAGAGACTATATTTAGCAGTTATATGTCCTGGGATTCCACAGATTTTGCATCCAGGTTGCATTGCAGTTACGATAGCTGTAGGGTTCACATAGATACTTTCAACTTTTTGAGCAAGGGTGTCCATTTTAGCTTTCATCATGTCTAGGCAATTGACTTCATATATACCTCCTTTGGTCTCCTTCTTCTCCAATAATGTTCGTTCTGTCCCCCATTGGTAATGGTTTTGTGCCATATCTTCAATGAGAATGCAATCCTCGAAGTAAGGTTAGTTCATTAGTGCACCACCGACGGCAGCGTCAATGGTCATTTTTGTGTTATAGAGAAGCCCATTATAGAAGGTGTGAATAATCATCCATTGTTCTAAGCCATGGTGTGGATAAGCTCTTAAAAGTTCTTTGTATCTTCCCCAAGCGTCGAAAAGAGATTCGCCGTCTTGTTGGGTGAACCTAGTTATTTGGTTTCGTAGGACATCGGTCTTACTTGGTAGAAAATATCTAGCAAGGAAAATTGTCTTTAAGTTATTCCATGTGGTTATTAAATTGTGTGGAAGGGAATCTAACCATGATCGTGCTCTATCTATGAGGGAAAAAGGAAATAGTCTTAGACGTATCGCCTCAGGAGGAAAACCATTGGCTTTTAATGTATCTGCTAATTGGATAAAAACTTTTAAGTGTTGGTTTGGGTTCTCATTAGGGAGACCAGTGAACTGGTTTTGTTGTACTAATTGTAACAGAGCGGGTTTAAACTCAAAGTTATGAGCTGCGATAGCTGGGTTTACAATACTCGAATGAGGTTCTTCATTAGAAGGTAACGGGAAGTCCTTAAGAGTTTTTTTGGTTTTGTTCTTCGGCCATAGCTATTCTAATCTTTTGGAGTAAAAGACGTGCGCGTGCGTATCTTTCAGGCTCTTCTGTTGGATCTACTAAGTTTCTGGTACAGCGAGTTCTTCGCATTTATCGGTAAATGGAAAAGGTAATGCCTAAATCTAGACAGTGTAACAACAGGGTACGCAAATTTGACAAAAATGTTTCCCGGCAACAGCGCCAAAAACTTGAACGCGTGTCAGTGCCTTTCGTAAGTATACGAACTACGTCAGAGTAATATAAAAGATTATCGTTCCCACATAGACCAATATCAACCTATCAATAACTATTGTCACGATGTTCTATTTTAGGCTAATCAAACAGGGTTGCAAAGTGTGTTGAAAATCAGAAAAAATTAAGGTAGAATAAATTCAGAGAAACAATGCTGAAATGCAATTCACATTGATCAGACAATACTCCTATTGTCTCTAAATAGAATTACTTATGGGGCAATATTTTCTTTCTTGAAAATAGTTAATTAAAATGGAACCATTGTGTTAGCGTAATCAGAACCAGATTTGGCCTCTAATTTATACCAGCCGTTCACGCTACATCGGTCGCATCTTGCGTTAAAATGAAAAATCATTTTTTTATGTAACTACCTTTAAGACTCAGTTAAAAAGTGCTTTTGATTGCAAACTTCTAACACAAAAGGATTTCCGGCATATGCTCGGCCAACCGAATCTTAAACTTATGAACGTATCCGAAAATAGTTTTAAAATCACTTTCTAATAATACTAAACTTTCCTGATTAATTAACAAAGTGTTTCCACTGTTTTTATTAATAAAAAACTAACCAATTTTTATCTTAAGTGTCAGACAACTTTCAATCTTATCCTACGTAATCACAGATATACTCTCGTGGCATCCGATCAAATAAACCACAGAAAAATTATATTAAAACTAAAACATCCCCTAAAGCATTCCTACAGACACAATATACGAAGTATTGTCGAAACGACGATCCTCACATTCCAACACTAAAGATTTAGCTGGACATGACTACAGTAAACCACATAGCATATAATTGATTATCGGAATAAGTCATTTATAGAAAATGCATGTTAAGTGTGCAATTGATTTTGGAAAAGTAATGACAAGAACAATAAGGTAAATTAATGTTTAGCATTGCGAGACAATAAAGAAATTAAAACAGAGTGATAAAATAAAGGCAATGTGAGAAATAAACGAAAGTAAAGGCGATGCGAGATGAATAAATAATAAAATTGCGAATTGAATTAAAAACCTGCTCCAAAGCGGAGACTTGAATATGGTACAAGACTGGTAAAGAAAATAACGACAAGCTTCTACTCTACGATTGCTCCACACTCGTTCACAACAATGGTGCGATAATTCCTCGATGTGACGAATTATCGTTTTTACAAAGTGAATCTATGTCTATGCTACGACTAAGAGTTGATGCCTAAAAAAATGAGAAACTAGGTCCTATTTATAGTGAAACATTTCCTTGGACATCAAGTTGGGCCTTCAAAACTCGTGAGAGAGAAATCCTCTAGTCATGGCTTCAACCTTCAACCGCCCTTGACTGACTTCATCTTTATGAAGATGACGCCCCTCACCTAGGCATGGCGTCCGCCATGTATATAAATGGTGGTGGACATGGTCTTCTGGCTTTAGGTTGTGGGAGAAACCATACACCTCATGGCTACCCACATGGCCAATGTCATGTGGAACATCGTGTGTGTAATCAATCCTAAAATCTCTATTTTTCGCTCTTTTCACTTTGTTTCTTCGTGAAAGGCTCTTATTAGACAATGTACCTGAAAATAAGACAAACCACAAACATAATACAAGAAAATAACAATTAAACAAAAATAAACATGTGTTATCCGAGCCAAATACGCAGTGTGTTTTAGTGTTATCATCTAACCGATGTAATCTTGTTATAATTTGATGCATATGTAATGTATATTTTAATTGTATAACAATTGGGGTCAATTTTCAGAAATTTTTTTATTTCAACCTGTTAATAACTTCGGGTAAGCTATGTTTTCTATGAAAAATACATATTCATGCATAAATCAAGTTTTGTTTGAATGTGGGGTGATTCCGAAGACGCACTTCTAAATTAGTCATATTTTTTACAACAAAATTATAAAATAGGGGGTATTTCAGAAATACATCTTCGTAAATACCCTTATATTAGAAAAAATAGTGTCGGCTTGGAGATGCATATTAGGAATATCCTTTGAGACAAGATAGGTTTTCTAAGGTCCAAAATGAACTAAAGCTTGTATAAATATGATCTATCATCTCATGTTCACAAAACATACCACACCAGAATGAACATATATTGACATGTCACATTTGTCTACTCCAAAGGTGCGAAGCTCTGACATGAATTTAAGGTCACAGAGTACACCTCTCATGTAAATTTGAAATTTATACTAGCTAGATAATCTCCTATAATACTCAGACAATCGAAAAATTGTGAAGTTTTAATACCGTTCACCCTCGATTGACAACGAAGGGAAGATTCAGTTCAACAATTTTGAGTTGAAGACGGATGACGATCTAAGGATTATTTGGAGTACATTTCACCAATACGAAATAATTAGACCGCTTGAAGTGGATGCGATGATTATCTATTTGAAAAAATGTAATATTAAATTTATGCTATCGATCACCTATGTAGTAGTGTTAACCATTATCTATGTAATATTGAATATTTTGAAGTTAATTTTTGTTTTTCTTCAAATTTCTGCATTTGTTAATGCTGGTTTGTGGTTTGAGCATACATAGTTTATTTTGGAGATGCATCTCCATAATACTCATAGAGTTTTGAAATAAAGGCTATTAAGGAGATGCACCTCCAAATTGATCCTACAGAGATGCATCTCTGAAAATATTTTTGGACAAAATAGGTTGACTCACTTTAAAAAGCGTTGGGGGTATGTAACTTGAATGCGTTCAAAATGTATCTCCGAAATTTAGAGATTTTTGTAATTTTTCAACATGATGAACTAACACTCCTAATGGGTGAAAAAAGTAATGTCATGTTGTTGGGTCGGTTTCCAACGGGTACTAAGTGTTGGTAAGATTTTCAAAATAAAAATGAATAATAATGATTAAATTCATTTAAGGAAAATATCATATCATAAATGGTTGTGTTGATGTAGTGGTTATGACTTTAGATTTTAATTCAAATATCATGAGTTTGAATCATAGCTTTGTTAATTTTGTAACTTTCATCATAACATCTTCATCTTTTTATTACTCAAATTTTGCAACATTTTTTCATCGTTATTTTTAGGCTTTTATACAATTTCACCTATTTAATTAGATATTAATACGTTTGAACCTTAATGTCAAATCTTCTTAAATAAGTTTATAGATTTCAAGAAACCTTTAAAAATACGTGACTTATTTTACTTAGCTGTGAATAACTCATGAATATGGTAAGCACCAAAACAAATAATATTATATCACTATATTCAGTACCTTACTCATCACTCTATAGCTTAACAATGGACAAAGAAGAAATATATCCTATGAACTAGTTAACTAAGTATTTACCTAGTAATAATATACATAAATAATGATTCTGAGAGGCTTTTCTCATGCTCCCAACGTGTGAAAGCTGAACCTTCCAGTAGTAGAATATGATGAAACAATGAAGAACATGAGCAAGAAGGGTAAGAAGAAGATGAAAAACTGAAAGTTGAAAGCTGTGTTAAGGAGCTGAGTTTTGAAGTGATTGTACTGTGAAAGACACAGCAAACTAACCACAATGGCAAATATCATGAGCAAGTGGAACGGTGGTGTAGACACAGACGCCATGTTTTTTTGTCTCCAACTTTGTTTCCATTCTGAACCCCTTCTTTTGTTGGATTGCACCCACTCCATTTTGTTTTAATTTTGTCGAATCCACCTCTTAGGAGGATAGCAGCTTTATACTCTTTGTTGATTATTTGATGGAAGCTTCGTTGCTTCTCATATTAGGTTGGTTTTGGCATATATTCTTTGTGTGCATGCAAGTTCCAAAGGCAAGGTATTCTTTTGGTAATATATTCATCAAAATAACTAAAATATTAGTTATTCAAAGAAGTACTTGTTCTTATTTAATAGTCTCATTATCATAGTTCTTTATATATTAAAAGTGAATAATTGAAATATCACGAACTTATACTCTTACAATCCAATATTTATCCAGCTATCAATTAAATTAAATTAATGAGACAATTTTATAAAATATTATGGTTTAATTTTAATTTTGATTCTTTTGTCTTTTTTAAAGTTTTATCACTCGTTTTAAAAATTACAATTTTGGTCCCGTTTTTAAATTTTTGTGTTTGATTTTAATCCTCAAAATCCAACACAAAACTTAAAGAATGAACAAAAAATGTGACTTTTAAAATGGAGAAATCAAAACATAAAAAATATAAAATAAAATAAAGGGATCAAAATTATAGTTATGTCAATTATTATTAAATACGATCAAATGGTGTGAGAGATGATTTGGGAAGATTTATTATGGAAGGCGGGGCTTGGAACTTTGGCCTTTTATCTACCATTGTAGCAGAAGTCATGGCTTTGAAAGAAACTTTGCAAAGTGTTATTTTGTTACAGCCGAATAATGTTATCTTTGGAAGTGACTCCTAACTAGTAGTTCAGGCTATTCATTTTAAATATTTAGGAAGGCTCGAATTTAATGTTATTATTTTGTCCATTAAAAATTTGTTGCATCTTTTTTCAAACTTTAAGGTTAATTTCATTAAACGCTAAGCAAATTCGGTTGCCCATATACGTTAGTTAAGACAACCAATTCTTAGATTAAGCGTAATTTTGTTAATGTAATACCTCTTTATATTGAACCATTTTTGAGTAACAAAAGTTATTAAATTTGTTTCTGAATTTTTTTATCAAATGGCTTAGTATATTTATTAAGCTAATTTTATTAAATATTAATATTTGTTACCATCATAAATATACCATCATAAATATAAATATAAAGTGAAACATATATTTTAGACAATAATGTGCATAAATAATATTAATTAAAATAATAGATTTTTTAAAGGAATTTCTTATCATATCTTCTATGGAGTGGAAAAACATCTTATGAAAAATTAAAAATGTCTCTCAGATTTTAGAGATGCATCTCCGGACACACCATGCACCACTTTTATGATGCATCAAACGAGTGACACCCCAGATTAACACACAAAATTATTTTTTAAATGCATCTCCGAGTATTTTCAACAAATATATTAATAGTTGAGCAGTCAGTTGAATTTTTCGAAGATGCATTTACGGAGGTTTGGGGTGGGATTTTGAAATTTCTATCACCTTTTCATGTCAGATATTTCCGGAGATACGTCTCCAAAATTAGTTGATAAAACACTCACCTGCATTATCACATATTCATATTTGTTTTCTGCTCAAAACCCTTACCAAAAACCCTTCCATTTTCACACCATATTTTCACTCCAAGTCTTCATTCTTATGTTTCATCACATCAAAAGGAGTAAAAGAAACTGAAATTTCAGGTAAAGATCACTTATTTCAAGCCTAATTGATCACATTAATCCTATTTTAGCCTGAAAAACAAGTGTTTAATCCGGATATACATCTCCGGAGTATGTATGAACTCATCTAGAAATGCATCTCCAGTATCTGTCTGTACTCTTTTTTTAGCTTTGTTTACAGTATCACTATGCCAAAAAAGACCTTTAGCAGCGCTTTTTTTGGCCTTTAGCAGCGCTTTAAAGCGCTGCCAAAAGTGGCGCTGCTAAAGGTAAAGGCAGCGCTTTTTTCAATGAAAAAGCGCTGCTAAAAGCTCCCTTCAGCAGCACCTTTAGCAGCGCTTTTGTAAGCGCTGCATAATTCCCCCAACCATCCCCCCCTTTAGCAGCGCTTTAAAAAAGCGCTGTCTTAGACTCCCCCTTTAGCAGCGCTTTTGCAAAAGCGTTGCCATAGCCCACCCTTTAGCAGCGCTTTTTACAAGCGCTGCCTTAGACCCCCCCCCCCCCCCCCCCCTTCCAAACCAATAGCAGCGCTTTTGTAGCGTAATATTTGTGACCTTTAGCAGCGCTTTTATGTAAAAGCGATGTCTAATGTCCTAGATTTTAAAAAAAAAAATTTATAAAATATTCACCCTGTTTTGTATATTTTACCAACAACCTGCTTATATTACACAAACCTGCTTATAATTAAGGCCTTTATTTCAGCACTTTGGCCTTATAAATAAAATTCAAACTTTGGCCTTAAATATACCATTCAAACTTTGGCCTTATATGTACAATTCAAAACTTTGGATGTAACTCATGACTTTGTTCATAAACATTTTAATATACACATAAACCTGTTTAAATATGTTACAACAAAAATTGACACAAATACATTCAATTCTCAGAATTACAACAACACAAATACATTCAATTCACATATAATTACAAGTCTTCCAATCCGATAACTCTATACAATTCTCAACCCAAGAATAAATTGACACCATTCCTCTTTAATTTCTTCCAATTTTGCTTTCGTGTAAGTAGCGCACTTGAATTCATCATAATACTACATAATATAACAGATCGAATAAGATTTAAGTTTAAAACTAATTACTCAGATGAAGTATCGGATAATTATCAAAATGAATCATATAACTTATATAATGAATTGATCCATACCAGGACTGGAATCTCAAGTTGACTAGAAAGAATAATTTCCCTCATAAAGCGCAATACAAAATATCCACAGTCAATACCATTACGCTGCCGAGGACACTGTAAATGGAAAAAACAAACGAAAATTTATCCGGATATATAGTTGAAATAGTTTTATCAAGTAGAAACATGCGAGAATATACCTCTACTCTGATCCAGTTGATGTTGTTAGCCTTCCTTTTTGGCACCGTTGCATCTCTTTGTGCTCTGAATATTTGTATAACTCTAACATAATATAAACGCATATTTAGAACAATGTCACATAATAAATAAAGATATATAATTAAAGACAACAGTATATGTCATCACTTACGTATCAACAAAGTTCCTCAGATTTTCATATTTTGTTGTATCGTCATCCAATGAATCTATATAATACACTATTTCTTTCGTCGGATTAATTGCGATCAACAACCAATGTCCACTATAAAATAAGACAACAGTTTAGAATGTGAGATGCTCTGCAGACCATGCGGATTCATTCCATCAGTCGATAATGCCAAGCGAAGGTTTCTAGCTTCTTCTCCAAAATCAGGATAATCATTATCAATTTTCATCCACTGTGGTGAATCTGCCGGATGTCGATACTTCCCATCTACAATTCTATCATCTGCATGCCAAGTCAGGTGTTTTGCATCTGTTTCACTACGAAACATGCGTCTGAATCTCGGAATTATAGGAAAATACCATAATACTTTTGTTGGTGACAACTTTTTCTTATACCGAGATACACCGCATTTAGGACACTCGTTTAATGATGCATATTCATTTCGAAACAAAATGCAATCATTTGGACAAACATGTATCTTATCATAGCTCATGCCAATAGAGCATAACATTTTTTTTAGCTTCATAGGTTCGATTGAGAAGAACATTATCCTCCGGAAGCATCTCTTGAAGTAGGGCTAACAACTCTGTGAAACTTTTATCCGACCATCCATTACCCGCCTTTAAATTGTACAACTTTAATACCGCGGACAATCTTGTGAAAGTAGTGCAACCTTTATACAACGGTTTCTCTGCATCGCTTACCAACCTCTCAAACATCTTGGGACAATCTTGAAGATCTTCTTCAAGTGCTTCTGTAATCTCTTCGACTCGATCACAATCATATGTATCTCTGCCATTGTCCTTTGAAGCACATGTCGTATTATTCCGGGGTTCAACATTCTCGTTACTTATCTCACCATGTAATGTCCAACATGTGTAACTTCGATCAATTCCATGTCTCATTAAATGAGATTCCAACTGAACGGCGTCAACTCGACGCCCATAACAGCATCCTAAGCAAGGACATGTGATTCTACTGGGGTCTTTGGCGTGTTCAACAGCAAACTTAACGAACTTCGATACCCCATTCTCGTACTCTTTTGACAATCGATTACCAGACATCCATTTTTTATCCATACTAATTGAGTAATCTACACTAAACTATAAAAGTTAAACAAAACAGAGAATACCTGTAAGGAAATCACTAACTTCTAAGAATGCTACGCAATAGGATGCTTGGAAACGATCACAGCTTTGCTCTTCACAGGTAACCCCTATAGGAGACAAAATATAAATTTTATTAAATCATACTAAACATATTAAAAATACTAGATATTAAAAATCATATTACTAATAACATATTAAAACCATAATAACATATCATATAATCATTGATATCCTTAAACCAAAATGACACCCTTACTAAATATTGAGAAATCCTAATTAAACATATAAAACCATAATAACATATCATATAATCATTGAGAAATTCATACTAACATATCAACATATAAGTATATATAGTATTACTAATAAAATAAATATATATAGTATTACTAATAAAATAAAGGTACCTATCATAACTAATAAAAGTGTATATAGAATGACATAAATTAAATAGAAACAGTGTTAGAAATAGAAAAACGGAAGCATTAAAAAAACCGGCGACATGTATAAACTTTAAAAATGAAAGCTTAAAACTTGGAAAAATGAAATCTTAAAACTTATATATATATATATATATATATATATATATATATATATATATATATATATATATATATATATATATATATATATATATATATATATATATATATATATATATATATATATATATATATATATATATATATATATATATATATATATATATATATATATATATATATATATATATATATATATATA